TTCTTGCAATAATAAAAAGATCTTAACAGTTGGACGCTGCGTCTAATCATCACACTTCTCATTTAAAGTGCTATCTAATCGCTGTATCTTAGTGTATCTTAGATAAAGTCATGTGGAAAACTGCGGGGTAGACCCTTCTTAGCAGGAAATTCGCATAAAACGCATTAGCATTGGGATACTTGAACAGATGTTGCTGCATTTGAAATTCACAAAACTAAAAGCGAGGCGCAAACAAATCCGCAAAGGCAAAACTTGAAAAGACAAAGAGGATTGCTGGGTTGGCCAACACCTTGCCTTGCTGTATCTAGTACTCGTATCTAAGCACTCTGTATGCTGCCAATGACAGTTGGTTGTTGTCACCCTCTGGACAGAAATTCGCACAGCTGAGCGCTGTTAGTGGGCTGAATAATTCCATAGAATGCGACAAATGCAAAGTGCGACAATGCTCCCCAAACGGCTTAGAGGTGCGAGTCAAGGAAGAAGTTAGCAAAGTCTGTCGCGTCTCTAATGCACATTGGCATTTACATAATTCCCCAGACACGTTGCGGAGCCGAGGGGCACTTGACTCAAGGCAAGCACCCAGAACCAAAATCAGAACCAGAACCAAAACCAGACCCAGACCCAGACCGAAAATCAAAATTAGAGCCAACCCAGCAGTGAACCAAGCCAAATATCAATTACAATCACGCAAACCAAAACACAACACGGACCACTTTAGCTCGGGGACAGCGGCCAGCAATAGAACAACAAGCAAATTAATTGAAATCAATGCAAATGTTCTGGCCCAACCAAGCAACCCTCAAGGGTTGTGCTGTGCTTCGTTCTGGTTTTTCAATTTCAATAGGCAATCGCATTTGTCAGCGGCTTAAGTCCGCGCTCTGGTTTCCACTTTCCACTTTCAGCTCTCTAGATTTCACAAACCCCTACCTCGCCATAGAAGCCCTGCCACAGTGCCATTGTTGTCAAACATGTCAAAGCAATGGCAAACATTTGGGCTGCTTTTAATTTATCAATGCAAGTTGATTCAGTCTTCTTCTATTTTTTTTTTCTCGCTGCCCGCTTGATCTATGGAATCCATTTCGCGGTTTGCTGAGCACATGCAACTCGGCGGCGTTCCTCGCATCAGCAGCATCAGCAACAGCAGATAACGCGCCGATAATCAATGACAGTGTCCTGTGCACAGCTCATCCTTTCTGGCACTCAGCGGCCTCTTTGTGTGATAAGTAACTCATTGGCTCGCTGTGTAGCTGGCGGCGGGCTTTAGCATTATGTCATTCTGCTTTTGGTGAATCCGCGGTGGCTTTTGTGGCCATCGAGCGCTGCGTGGCATATGGTTTTTGCATTTCCTCGCTTTGCTCTTCAACATATGCCACAAAATGTGCGCATTTAAATTGTAAAGGAACAGACTGTAAATTAATGTGTCAATGCATAGATTAGAACAAGGCCTATGTTAGACTTGTTTTCGGTTTTGAGAAGGTGGCAGTGCCCAAACAAATTCATTGAACTTAACAACACAGCTGAACTCTGGCATAAAATGTCGGCAGATATAGTATGTACCCAAAGATTGTCTGTACCAGCTTGCATTCGTTTTGATGTAGTTTATTTCCATATCGAGTTGACTCTTGCTGCTAAGCATTAAAGATATTTCTTTGAAGGTCAGTTATGCCACAACTCAATGCCAATTTCTGATACATCGGGGGCCATAAAATCGTTTGCCAGCACGCGTCGCGGTTTAAAAAGCAATGTCAATAAATTTTCACTAGAATGAATTTATTGGTAAATCCCCCAAATGGCAGCGAGGGCTTTTTGACAGGGCTTCAGGCCACGATTCAACTCGTTGACGTTGCGCAAATCGGCGTCGCCTCTAAATGTCAATAAAGAACACATTTTGTTGGAAACGCTTTTTATGTCCAGGCCACACAGTCAAGGAAATCAGGCCCAAATAAAAGCATAAAAGTCTGGCAATTGCCAAGTGAGGCGCGCGTCGTTTGGCGACAGAATAATGACACGAAATAGCATAATTTGTGCAACAGACGAGCCACGGGCCACGAGTAACCCCAAAAGGTTAGCCAAGAGTTAACGCCAACAACAATAACAAAATGAAAGTCAAGGAAGCGCCTTTCAAATTGCCTGATTTACTAGTCGCTTGGGGCCAACGATTTTCCAGTTCAGAATAAAAGGAATAAAGTATGCTCCAAGGATATGCGAATACATATAGCAATTGCCCACATGTGGTGGCCCGGCCAACTAGCAACAACAAAGAAACAAAAACGAAAAAATATATACAACAAAACAAGGAAATAAATATAAAAGTGCTTGGCAATAAAATTTGCGTAAATAGTCCAATTTGCATTGAATGTTGCCTTATTTATTTTTCGACTTTCTGGCCGAGCCCCTCTCCAGAAACGGAACCAAAAATGAATCACACTTTGCCCATTGTTATGCTTTGAAATTCTTGTTGTTGTTATTGTTAGTTGTGTGATTGTGTGTGTGTATGTGGGTGAGTGTGCGTATGTGGTTGTGGGTCTTAGTGAAGTGTAAATTTGGCAAATTTTGTTAAAAGCAAAATATACAAAAATAGCCCAGAGCCCATATACAGCAAAATGACGGGAAATGGAAATGTTCAGACATTTTTCTCTTTTTAAATTATCAACGCCCCATTTTGTGTAAGCAAATGGGCTGAGGCGTCTTTATAGATTGGCCGATAGAGCCAGAGCCAAGCATTGTGTTCAAATTATTTGGCAAGACTCCGAAGCGCAGAATGCTCCCAAGCTAATAATGCGACCCCCCATTAGAGTTTTAATTCTATACGCGGTATGCATGTATTCCAATTGTTCCATTGTTTTTATTCGAAACTTTTGCCAGACGAAAATGCTTCAAAGTTTTCACTTCAAGCCGAATCCAATGAAGCTCAGCAATAAACAATCGGTGCTTAAATTGCTGCCAATTAACAATTAACAAGCTCCCAGCACCAAAACGCAGCCAACAAAACTTTATACACTTTTTGTTTTTTTTTTTTTTAATAATAAGTGCGCATTCAAGGAGTCTTTTTTTATATATATAAATCCTGTTAGTTATTAATGGATTCCAATATGTAAATGATATGCTATAAATTTAGGCCAACACGCAATCGACGCACAATCGATTGATGTCCACAGAAATTACTCTGGCTCTATAAGCCATTTAAATAAAGCGACAAAACAATTTAATTTCACACGCACAAAACGCAATTTAATATTGCCCACGAAAATGTTCAGCTAATTACACACACACTTGATGTACATCAATTAAGTGCACCGATTGAAAATAGTTTTTATACAATATTTAAATTGATCTAATTAAACGTGGTTATGTACTTGTCTCTCTAATTGCTCGGCAAAGAGATCGTCAAACTTAAATTATTTTAGTTTGATGTGGAATCCGAATATAGGTTGTCTTTTTTATAAAGTATTCCGATTCTTAAGATATTGTGCTTTAAAAAAAAAGCAAAACCATTTAAAGCTAACACACTCACACACACCCACACACTCGCCCGAACACATTAACTCATCAAAATTAACTGAGTTATTAGCTCGTTATCTTTCACACTTAATATTTACACAGTTGGCTGTTGAATAGCCGTAGCACATCAGCTGGTAACCAGGAAAAGGCAATTACAATAGGTCAGAATGCTCTGCGTGAGCATGCCCAACTAGAAAATACCCTCAAAATTACAAACACACATATATTCCATCCGAATCGAAATAACAAAGTCTAAAGACCTTCAAATGCGTAATCCTAGGCTTAAATTCTTAAAGAAGTTAGGTGTTGCAGGGGTTGTATAGTCGGGATTATTGAATGCTTTTCTGGAGTCGATGTGCCAATAAAAACGCATTCATACGGAATGGCACGGCCGAAGACAAAATCCACGAATAGATCGACTCGAACCTTGATGCTGATAATGGAAAGATTACTTGTTTTGTCTATGACATACATCGTGACAACTTTATTATACCCTTTGTTTGCATTTTCAGTGGGTAAAGAGCATAAAATGAGACTTGACAAAGTCATAGAAAGGAGGCGTAGGGGCAGTAGGTGGGCTCAGACTGTTGCTGCTTGTTGCTTAAAATTCAAACAATGTGTTGATGCCTTCACACCAACAACACATGCATAATTAATATGCAAAAGAAACAAAAAACAACAACAACAGCAACAGTTGAGGCAGTGGCAGCAGCAGCGGCAGCGGCAGAAGGGTAAAACTTTTTGGCCGAGCTGGAAAATTGAAAGGGTTAGCATACTTTTCGGGGCGGGATGCGGGCATCGTTAGACGACATTTTGCAGCTCTGCTGCTGCTTCATTATTACAGCTTCCGCGTCAACATTATTTCCGCAAACAGCAACAACTACATTCAAGCACACCAATATACACACACACACACATACAGTCAGACAAATTCACGCAGTTGTTGGCTCTTTCAACGTTTGCTGTTGTTGTTCTTATTGTTGTTATTATTGCCATGCATAATTCATATGTGAAACGCAACAATAGGTGGCAAAGCAAACGAAGCAAAAACATAACCTCAAACCTCGTGAATGGCAGTGAAAATGGTTTAATTGAGGCTCACATAAACACACTCACAACCACACTCACAACCAAACTCACACACACTCACCCACACTCTATACTCGCAGCCCCTCGAAAATTTAAACTCAGACTCATGCTGCTGCCCTCTCAGGGCATTTACATATTTCAATGCATGCAATTAAGCGTGTAAGGGGTTTGGGTGAAGGAGGGGTAGGGGTAGTGATGGCGCCCTCGAGGTGCGGGTGGCGCTGCCAACTGTCATGACATGGCAAAAAGTTTAATTTTTTGTTCAAACTTTTTCGACGTTTGTTATGTTTTTTCTTTCTATTTTCCAGATAAATATAGCTTCTAACTTTTGAGTTGGCCTGCTTTTTAGCGTAGAAGAGACAGGCTACCCATTTTCTTAATCTTTTTGCTCTTTTTGCCCTGTCTTGCAGGAAAATCACGCCATTTTACGGTGAACGGTCTGAGCGCTAATAACACGCTTCAGCAGCAACAGTATAACCTGCAACAGCAGCAGCAGCTGCAGCCAGCGACTGACACACGCAACATCTACAACAATCCCTACAACCCACAGCCACAACAGCAACAACAACAACAACATCAACAACCACAACAACAACAACAACAACTACAACAGCAACAACGCACCGCACACCTATTTAAAGCGCTGGCTGCCACTGCTGCTGTGAGCGGTAACAATAGCTTGAACCATCCGTATGACTTCTCTAACTCATCCTCATCGTCGAATGCCAACAACGAGCAGCAAGGATCATCATCTTCAGAAGCAGATAATGCGTTTTTAACTCATAATAACGGTGAGTTATCAGTTACATATATTACACATATAGATATATCCTTGAACCCTTTAAGCGCAATCATAGAAATCAAAGCTGTCAATTATAAGCACCTTCACGGGAGAGATAAGTTTAAGCCAGGGCTACAAACGCAACGAAGAAAATTGCCCCTGATTCGACTGATTTGGCTTAGCAACTAGTTTGGTTTAAGGTTCGGATATAAGTGAACAAATGAAATTCCGACTTTTAGCTGCTTTAGTTAAAACCCCGTCTGCAGACTTGGCAACACGATTTAATTTGATTAGGGTACTAACAGTTTCCTGTCTGCTATTTTATGATGCATCTTTGACGTTAACTCCCTAGTTACAAATTGAATTGAAGCTGGAGCAATTAAAAGGAAAACTTCCGAGCCTTAAGTAATATTTCCACTCTTGCATAATTTTTACCTCTGCTGGCACAACAAATCAAAAAACTTGCTCACCTGCCTGTTTGGCTGGCAGTTTGCCATAATTTGCACGCAATTTGCATTTCAAGTGGCCAATCCCCCAGACCCCCCGATCTACGTTCCGGATCCTGCAGGAAGCTCCTCTCAATGCTCAAGTTGGCCACTAGCCTTTCCTTAACTTGCGACTGCCTTCTAATTACAGCACAAAAATGTACTTATGGCTCAGCCTCAACCCAATTCTCAGTCCCAGCTCCAGATCCAGGCTGGCAAACTTGGCACCCAACGTGGCAGCAGCGGCAGCGTGAAATTAATGTGAGAGCTCATAATTTGTTAAGGGAAGCGTATAGAAGACAGAGAGTCTCTCGATGAGGGTATGGGAAAGTTTGTTTAGCTGCAAAAAAAAACAGCTACAAATTACAGGGTAAAACGCTTGGCAAAGGTGTGGCAAATTATGGCTAAGATTTATGTGGGTGCTGCACCTTGTTATGGCCGAGCATAATAATGGAGGGCATGCTGAGCATGAAATAGTTAAACTAACTGCTTTATTTGATTCTATTTCAACGTGGAACTGCAATATTGTAAATATTAACATGGGGTCACTTGTGATCCAAATCAGATTTTGACTTCCTTAAACGGAAGATTCTCCCATTGGGCTAGGGAAAGCTGGAAATCTCATATTCAAGTCGCCCGTAAGCAAAGCCAGTTTAATGTGCGTGGCCTGACTAAAGTTTCATTGGGCTTTCTCCTGTTTGGATGCATTATCAACAAATCATTGGAAGGCCGCCCGTTTGGGGCAGCTATAAAATGTGGCAAAGTGCAATTGCCGCACAGGACAATGCCAGGCGGGCAAAGATGCCGCCAGTTATGCAATAAAAATCATTAAAAAATATAAATATGAAAGCGGCAAGCTAACAAGGCGCTTGGACCCACATCGCCCTGCCTTCGATGTTGATGAAGCCATGGAAAAAATTGAAAATCCTTGCCAAGCAACGCGTCGGGTAACAAGAAACTAAACGAGCACCCAGCGCCATAAACTTAAATCACGATTAAAAGTGTGATTATCCTTGTGGCGCTACAAATCGCCGCTGCAGCTGACAGAGCACAGGGCAGGCCAGACGTCGGCCACTAGACTGGGACAACAGCGTCCTGGCTGCTAGCTTGTTGTAGCTTGTTTGTTGTTGCAGTTGTCTGATTTTATATCTTTATAACCAGGCGCGGCTGTGGATGAGTAGTCAGAACAATCTCAATCCCCGAGCTAAGGTTGGAGACTGGGCTCGAGTCCTTGGTTAGCTGCTGCTCTGTTGCCTTTGTTATTCTGTTGTGTTTATTATACCCTGCACCCATTTATAACTATGTTAGAAAGGGTATAACGATTTGGTTTGCAAGTATGTTGTATAGTTTCGTTTATAAATTTATTTAAATATTATCTTTTGACAAAAGTTATTCCCGGTATAATTTACTTTAGACTTGTTAAAGGAAATACCTACATGTCTAACTAATTACGACAAGACTAACAATAATGTACGTGGCTGAGAAAGGTACAGGGTATATACTGCGCAGAAACTTTCTGTTAGAGGCAACCCATACTTGTTTTGGCTTCTGAATGGCCCGAGCATACAGCTCAGCTCCAAGACCGTCAGCATGTGTGCACGCACACCCACCACACAACATGTCCAAGTATCAACAGCCAACTATGAGACACACATGCACATATGCATATATTCTAGTATATGTTTTGCGAAAGAGATAGTTGGCGGCGCTGAGAGTGTTAGACTTTGCCATAAGAAGTTGAATTTAAAGAGAAATCTGGGTAGCTCGTGTGCCTAGTATTATAAAAATAGGTAATTGTTTACATTTTTCTCTGTTTCCTTAGTCAAAGTAACGAAAAGCCTTTTACGCAATCAAAAGTTAGGGAAAGTATTATAAGGATTCGAAGCGATTTGGAACCCTTTTATGCCCTTATATATTTACTTAACAATGGCAGCTGGAAACCGAAAAATAAAACTACATTTAAACCGGAATTAAATTCTTGGCCATTGTCCCTTTCTGGGCTGTGTAGAATAAAGCATTATTAGCAGTCGCATTTTAAATAAGTACGAAAAATCAAAGCGAAGCTCCGTGCATATGTCCAGAAAGTCCATCAATTGTTTTGCAAGTCCGGCTGCCGCTACCCTAAGCTGTCAATTGTGCTGCAGACTTTTGCCAATTTAACGAAACCGAAGCCATCGTGCTGTTCCTGCCTCGATTTCAGTGCAAATACAAACAGGCAAATGCAAATAAACAAGGCGTAGAAGGCCTATAAACAAAGGAGCAATCGGTGGTGGAACCTCAACCCCAGACCTTGCTGTCCTGTCGGACGGTCGGCTTATCACAATTCGCCCATCACACGACCAAGTGGCTGCTCCTCTCTCTCTCTCTCTCTTTCTCTATCTCTCTGCCTGTCTGTCTGTCTGTCTGCCCATTGGATTTAACCCCCCCAACATATTCTGGCATTGGACAATTGACTCTCGTATTTCAGTGATGAACTTAACTTATGTCAAAATATGCGATAAGTAATCCTTTTTGGCTGCGACAGTCGGCTGCCTGTCCATCCGGCCAGCTCCACTTGTCCATGCACAGTCAATTCAGGCCTAGACCTGGGCCTGTGTAAATATTTTGCTTCTAGTAATAATATCGTCGGGGGGTAAGTTGATGGCCTTACCAATTTTGTACATTTTGTACATTTGTCACGAAATCTAAAACAAAAACTTTATATATATTTTCCTGAGTGTCCGTAATGAATTGTGACAGAACGGACGGATGGACATATTGACAAGGGGAATGCTGGATAGTGGTCAAGACATCTTTTGTTTGTCCTTCATTTGGTGCCTGCTGTCAGGAAGTGGATCCAAATATACCCAATTGATTTATTTTTCTAGTGAAAAACTAAAAAGATTTCCAAATATGAGACTCAATTGTGGATTTTCTATTGAATAAATTGTTATGGAGACATCATTTTTTCACCTTGCTATAAATTTGAGGATACACATAATTTTTGCTATCGTCATTTTTATATAATTGCGACAATTTCATGCTTCCGCCTTCCGCTTTACACACATCCTGCCTCCTTGCACTGCGTCCTGGGGGACATGTATCTATATATTTGACCTGTCTTATCGGTGGCCATCAGCCCCTGGGGCCATCAACCTAAGCCAACCCTAAGGGTTCTGGAAAACCCCAGTTTTACGCCGAGATTCTCAATTAGGATAATCTCCGAATGACTACGCAAATATTGGCAAAATTCGAAAATTCGCTGCAGACATTTTGTCAGACGTTTCGGGCAATGCATTCGACACGAAGTAAGTCACTAAACGACAGGGTCCTGGTTTCTGGTCCTGTTTGGTTTAGTCTGCGTCCTCCCAACTGCTTACATTGCCTTGTAACTGTTATTGTTGTTGTTGTTGTTGTTGTTTTTGTTTTTGCATTTGTAGAGGCATTGCCGCTTTTCAGATTCGGAGTTTCCAGGCAAATAACATTTTCCGTATTTTCAGATGAAATGCGTCTCTTGGGGGCGGACTGCATGATTGGGCATGGTTGGGTTTTATGCGAAGGGGCGTGCGGATGGGTCAGCTGCCCTCTATTATATGCACATAAAAATAAATTCCAAGACTTTATTATGCCCATGTACTTGTCATTGTCGATGTGTGTGCAATGGACTGTGCTTTCATGGGGGAAGAGTGAAGCCTGCAACAGCAATTGCTGTTGTTTTTGTTCGATGCCCGGACATGGGTACTGGGGACTCGGATGTGGGTAATGCAACTGTGGGGGCGCGTTTAACATTTGTGCACGTGTACGTGTATGCTGCAGTCACATGTTTAATTTTTTGCCAATGCCCAATTGAATAACATTCGAACGCTTCATTGAGTAACATCGGTCCTGTAAACTATGTAAAGTGCATAACTATTATTTGGTGAGCCGTTTGATAAAATCCTTGAAGATTATTCCAGCTATTGAATTAAGTTGTATTGTGTTTCTTTAGTTTCACGACTTTCTCTAATACTTAGACCCCCTCAGTCACACAGACAATCAATGTTCGTTGATCTGCATGTGCCAACTTTAAAGTGTCCAGCTCGGTTATAAAAACGGCCAAACGGACAGTTGGGGGAACACGCCTCAATGCTGCTCAAGAATATAGATATTTTATGGGGTCCGATAAGCTTTCAACGAATTCTTACGTGCATTTGCACAAAATCGTTTGGGCCCATTTTGAATGGGTTGATGGTAGAAAAACATGTCATCTTCGCTGCACTTTAGCTGACTTATGTTGACCCGATTCGCTTTGAGCTGCCCAATCGTGTATGACTTGCCAAATCAACAGAGTTCATTGGAGCACAACGAAACGCCTACTCAAGTCTTACACACACAAGAATACACTTATTGACACAAACAAAATGCCAGTTTGATGCACTAAAAAGCCTCAAATGGTAGACGACTTTCGGGCGCTGCACTACTGGATACTTCCCGACAGGTAACAGAAACGTGCCGCCAAGATGGCTGGAGGACGGAAGTATATCCGCGCAAAAAAACAAAGTTAGATACGAGTCAGTAAGCCAAAGATGCTTATTGATAGGCCGAGTAAGTTTTCAAGAAAGTGCGCCTGAGTGTCTGCCTTAAGTTTAGCCCATTTGTGTAGAATGCAATTGTAATTTGGTAATGTCGAGTGCGGACTCACAAAGCTCGAGCTTGAGCGCGCCATCTCATCTTCAATTCACATGAATACATTTTGCTCTTAAGTATCCAAGCACTTGAGCATGCCTTTTGGCTGCTGTCAAGTGGGAAGTTGTGGTCAGGCCATTATAACTTATAAGTCGGTCTGCCCACACTCTGGCCGCTCTTGCTGTCGCTCCATTCTGTCGCTCAAGTGGCGGTTGGCAAATTTTTGGGCATGCCATTTTCTAAATGAAATTCAAACTGACATCGTATCAATTTAAATCAAATGAAGTGCACTTTTTGTTCAGCCCGGCTGCGCTCGAAATCTGCTGAAATATTGAGTGCATCAGAGCCACAGTTCAGGACAGGCCGGAAAGCAATCGAGCGTGTCCTTTAAGTGCTGAACCAAAAGTGGCATTAACTTTAACATAGTTTTGGGCGGCATACAAGCTGCAGTTGACATAGTTTTCAGTAGTTGCCTGTAAGCCAGCACGTGCAAAAGCCAGCTCTAGCTTTAGCTGAAGTTCGAGTCGTGTTGCCCAGTTAAGGTTGGCTTTGGTTGAGCTGCAGCTCATTACGTGGCCAGCAGCTTAAATGATGTGACAACTTGCAGACCAAATTAGAATTTTGTGCCAGAAAGGTGCGCACAAAAGTATGCAACAGTACGAGAGCTACCGGCCGGGGGGCTTAAACGAGCAGGGGCTGCAAACACCTGACCAATTTACGACCCCAACTACAGCCGGAAACGATGCCAGCAATTTAATGAGCTGCCATTTATATAAAAAGCAGCAAAGTGGCCAAAGGTGGCCAAATATTTAGCAACATTGCGGATGCAGACAGGTACAGAGACAGACAGAGACGGAGTAAATGAGAGAGAGAAAGAGTGAGAGTGTGTGAAAGAGTCACAGAGACGGAGAGAGTGAAAGACTCCTAAGGGCACTTGGGGCACGGGTGCTCACATGAGTGCTGCTGCGAGTAGCGGGTCCGTGATTCATGCAATTCGCACAGCAGTTGGCCATAAAAATGGCTTAAAATGATCATCATAAACGTTGAGTGAGCAAATATTGCAATAAAAGTAAATGACTGAAGGACGTCGTAAAATATTTATACGTGATGCACACTCTCACACAAGCTTACGCTCACACACACACACACACACACACACACCCACACACACACGTTGAGTAGCAGTCAAGTCTCATGAATATCATAAAAACGGCGAGCAATGCTACAAAATTGAGGCAACAACTGGAACAAGTTGAGTAAAATATGCCAAGCAAGCAGAAAAAGAATCTGCAGGGGGAGAAACCGAGTGAAATTTTGACCTAATGATGAGTTTTTACTAGCAGGTGAGCAAATTGGAATTAACTTCGAGCGATGTACCTGCAAGTATGCTATTAATAAAGCGCTATTAGTACAAAGTGTACAGTCCGTTTATAGTTGGGTTTATAGTAGCCTCGCTGTTATAAACTGAACTTTAAGATAGTTGCAGTTAACTCACACCAAAGCTCGTTCACTGAGAAAAGCTGAG